CAATTCCGGTAAATAATGTTGCTAAAATCATCAAAATATCGAATATCGGGAGGTACTATTATATGGGGGCTATGCGAAGACGTGGACCCACACAGACAATTTTCTGTCTTAGGTTGTAGTACTTATTGCGAACTTCAAATACCAAATTTGAAACAATTCCGGTGACTAATGTCGCAAAAATCATCAAAATACCGAATATTGGGAGGTATCGTTTCAATACCAAAAGTCCTGTAGACATAATATACATTTGAGTAAAATTTTATCAACCTACTTCATTTTGTTCGGAAGCTAGAGTGATTTCCACAGATGGATAGACGGACGGACATGGCTAAATCGAATTCATAGCTCCACATAAATAAGAAGTTCCGATTTTTTTTTGTAATTTCTTTAAAAACTTTATTTATAATACAGTTTTATTTAAACAAAAAAAAATCATACAACACGTTAATTGTTTACAATTCAATATCAATATAATAATTAAATTATTTTTTAAAAATATCATTTTTTTAATAGAATATAAAGTATATATATATAAAATAAACAATATTTTTTATATAGAAAAATAAACAAAAAAAAAAAATAATAATATATAGATATAACTTCGATAATGTGTAAAAATAATTATTAATTTTAAAAATATATATTTATATAATTTACAATTATTAACAAAATGTGAACCATTTGCTTAAAATAACGAAAAAAATTAAAAAATTAAATAAAAATAAAATAAAAATTAAAATCATGGAAATTTTGAAATTTCCCATTTTCCAGAATGTGAGTGGGGCCAATGTGGGGTTTGATTTATTTTTTCAAAAAAATTTTTTTTCAAAAAAAAATTTCAATTTTTTTTTTCAAAAAAAAATCAATTTTTTTTTTCAAAAAAAAAAATTCAATTTTTTCTCCTCATGCCAAAGACCCCTCGCTTGATTGGCCCTCTCATCTGTGAAAAAAAAAATATTAAAATCGTTTTTTTTTTCTTTATAAAATAACAACATTTGGAAACTTTATCAAGACCAGTACCTTTAAAGAGTTGGGGAGTTTTTTTTATAATTTTTTTTTTTCTAAATTTTAATTTACATAAGCATATTTGTGTTGGTTTGTTTGTTTTTTTCCTTAAAACATAATTTTTATAAATTAAATTATTTTTTATATATTTTGTGACTTAAGTAAGGGGGGTGTTTTTGTTTTTTTTTTTTTTTAATAAACATACGCGTTAAGCATGGTTTAGAACCAAGTTTCACTAGAAAGTTTTAACTAAATGACAAAGAAAAAAAATTAACTTAATTTAAATTAAAAAAAAAACTAAATTACACAATTTTAAGAAAATAAAAAACAAGACACAAGGACATAACAAAGTTTACAAAGGCGAACCAGAGAGTCTGTAAAAAAATTATATTTTCCAGAGAAATTCGTATTTAGAGCAAGAGAGGGGGGAGGTAGTAGGGGGTGCTGAATAACAATTTCATGATCTTGAGGCAATTTTTTGAAATTGGGATTTTCTAAAAATTTACAAGTCAATCCAAGAGCATAAAATATCAATAATTGGTCGATTTTTTTTGGGAATTTTTCAAAGTAAATTTTTTTTTGCTTAAATCTGAGCGTTTTTTGATGGAAAAATTTTGGATAAAAAAGATTATTACTATTTTTATTATTTTTTTCCCAATTTCCTTATACCAAAAAAAATAAATAAATAAAAAAAAAAGAAAAATTTTGGTCGAATTATAGGGCATTAAATTAAATTAGAAAACAAAAAATTTGGTCGAATTTTTGGGCATTTTTTAAATGGGATTTTCAAAAAGTTCGGGATTTAAAGAGAAAATCAATGGAGAGATATTCATGAAATTTGTTTTTGAATATTGAGTTAATGCTATTAACAATTTATGGCCAGTTCGACCAAAAAAAAAAAAAAAAAAAAAAAAAAATTACCAAAAATTGGTCGATTTTTCTGAACGTTATTTAATTTGGAATTTTTTAAATGTAGACAAGTCAATCCAAGCTATTACTTATCTTTTTTAATAAAAAGGATGAAATATCAATAGTTGGTCGATTTTTTTTGGGAATTTTTCAATGTTTATTTTCTGCTTAAATCTGAGCGTTTTTGGAGGAAAACATTTTCATAAAAAAATATAAACATAATTTTTCCCCAATTTCCCCCCCCAATACCAAAAAATGGTCGAATTTTTGGGCATTTTTTAAATGGGATGTTCAAAAAGTGCGGGATTTGAAAAGAAAATTAATGGAGAGACATTAATGAAATTAGGTTTTTGAATGTTGATTTAATGCTAATACCAATTTTTTGCCAGTTCGACCAAAAAAAAATTACCAAAAATTGGTCGATTTTGATGAACGTTATTTAATTTGGAATTTTCAAAAAATTTACGAGTCAATCTAAGCTATTACTAATTTTTTTGATAAAAGGGATGAAATATCAATAATTGGTCGTTTTTTGGGAATTTTTCGAAGTGAATATTTTTGCTTAAATCTGAGCGTTTTTGGAGGAAAACATTTTCATAAAAAATATAAACATAATTTTTTTCCCCCAATTTACCAATACCAACAAATTTAAATTAAATTAAAAAAAAAATTGGTCGAATTTTTGGTCATTTTTTTTTTAATGGGGTTTTCAATATTTCCGGGATTGGAAGAGAAAATCAATGGAGAGATATTCATGAAATTTGTTTTTGAATGTTGATTTAATTCTATAACGACCAAATTCTATATTCGACCAAAAAAAAAATCTACCAAAAATTGGTCGATTTTGCTGGAATTTATTTAATTACGAGTTTTTAAAAGAGGACAAGTCAATCCGATATACTAAGCATTTTTTTTAAGTTCAAAGTTGCTTCGACCAAAAAAAAAAAAAAAAAAAAATGTAGTACCAAAAATTGGTCGATTTTGCAGAACGTTATTTAATTTTGAATTTTTAAAAATTTACAAGTCAATCCAAGCTATTACTCGTCTTTTTTGATAAAAAGTATAAAATATCAATAATTGGTCGAATTTTTTTTGGGATTTTTTTTTGGGAATTTTTTTTGGGAATTTTTGAAAGTGAATTTTTGTTGAATCTAAGCATTTGGAGGAGAATTGGTAGATTTTTTTGGGAAATTTTGAAAATGTTTTTTTGGCAGAATTTCTAGTGCCTCAACATGTCGACCAATTATAACAATTTAATTTTTGGCTTTTGATTGTTCTCCCTGGTTATCTACATTAAAATTGTACATATCAAAAATTGGTCGAATTTCCTTCGAAATTCTTGGGAAGTGAACGGACTCTAAAAGAAAGTAATCGATAAAATAAACACTTTGGAGACTTTCATTAGGGCATGCCATGACTATTCATTGTCAAAAAAAAAAAAAAATTGGTCGATTTTTTGGGGGATTTTTAAAATCGGACATTTGGTAAATTTCTGAATTTCCAGTGAGACACTATAACTATTTGCCATGGAAAATGAATTATGGTATGATTTTTTTCGACTATTTCTAATTTAAAATTTAATATACCAAAAATTGGTCGAAATTCTAAGGAACCAAAAAAAAAAAAAAATAAATAAAAATAAATAAATAAATAAAAAATTCATGTCAAATACATTGGATGCATTCAGTCACTATTCTGAGGGCATTCAAAGACTATTCATTGATAAAAAATAGAAAAATTAGACCAATAAAAAATTTTTGGGCGGTTTTTCAAATCGGACTTTTGGCAAATTTTTGGACTTCCAGCGATGCATTATGACCATCTGCCGTGAAAAATTAATTTCGGTACAATTTTTTCTACTTTTCCTACTTTAAAACTTAATATACCAAAAATTGGTCGAATTTTAATCGCAAATTTTTTGGGGAAAAATTTTTCCTCGATAAAAGAAATTCTTCTGTGGCTACAAAAAAGCAATTTAGTTTGGAAAAAAAAGAAAAAAAAAAGAAAAAATGTTTTACCAAAAATTGGTCGAAATTTTTGGACATTTTTTTAAAATCGAATTTGGCTTTGTTTTGACTTTCCACGACATGTGATGGCAATTTATGTTTGTAGAAATGTATATTGTAATAAATTCCTTTCATTCTTTTAAAAAAATTCTACCAAAAATTGGTAAGACCTTACATACCAAAATTGGTCGAATTCTTATAGAACGTTTAAAATGCATGTCAAATACATTGAGAGAATTTCAAATACTATTCTTAGGGCATTCAAGACTATTCATTGAGAAAAATAAAAAAAATTATACTAATAAAAAATTGGTCGATTTTTTTTGTGGGATTTTTCCAATCGGACTTTTGGCAAATTTTTAGATTTCCAGTTATGCATTATGCCCATCTGCCGAGGAAAATTAATTTGGATAACAATTTTTTTGTAGTTTTCCTAAAAAAAACTAATATACCAAAAATTGGTCGAATTTCAATTGATTTTTCAAAACGGACTTTTGGCAAATTTTTGGATTTTCAGTTATGCATTATGCCCATCTGCCGAGGAAAATTAATTTGGATAACAATTTTTTTTTCTAGTTTTCCTAATTTAAGACTCAATATATCAAAAATTGGTCGAATTTCATTTGCAAATTTTTTGGGGAAAAAAAGTTTCTCTATTAAAAAAGAAGTTCTTATGTGACCACAAAAAAGCAATTTAGTTTAAAAAAAAGAAAAAATTCTACACCCAAAATTGGTCGAAATTTTTGGAGATTTTTTTAAATGGAATTTTTGCCAAAATTTTAACTTTCCTCTGAAATATGATGATAATCTATTTATTGTAAACATTTATTTTGAGTTTTTTTTTCCATTCTTCTAAGTTCAAAAATTTTTATACCAAAAAAATTGGTCGAATTTTTTAAATGGGAAAATGTTATTTTTAAGCCATTCAGAGGTGTCATGTGAGACAATGCATAGCAAAAAATCAAAAATTGTATCAACAAAAAAATTGGTCGAATTTTTTTGGGTATTTTTCAAAACGGACTTTTGATAAAATTTTGAGATGACTATCATTAGTTATAACCATATTGCAAGGAATATTTATTTTAGAATTTACTTTTTTCACAAAATTAAGAAATTGGTCGAATTCTTAAAGAACCTGCAAAAAATTTCATGAATACTCTTCCAAACAAGGTTTTTTATGGAAATTCTCTTCTCTCTTTCTCTCTCTCTCTGCTTATTGAAACCCCGTTAATTTGTCTACTCCTTCAAAAAATTCCCCTAAAAAATCCAATTGTCTTCTGCTGCTACTTTCTCCCTTTCTCATTCGACCATAATTTGTTTCAGAAAATCCCTCTCTCTCTCCCTCTCATCAGCACCCACATCGAACCCCCGTTAATTTTTCTTTTCCATAGCAACGAATTCGCCTTAAAAAATCTGTTCTCTTTATCATTTTTCTCTCCCTGACTCTCTGACAATTCTCCCTCTTTTGCTCCCCCTATCAATTCGCCCTATCAAAAGCTCATTTGCCTGCCACTGCCAAGCTAATCTAAGACTTTTTCAAATCGTTTCTCTTGAAATTTCGTATAGCTTCCATTAATTGGTCACGGGGATGGTTGGCGGGTAGGGGCGACCGTTCGCCGGTGACAGGTTTTAAATTGACACTCATGAACATGGGTGGTGGAATTGGGGCCTTGGGTGTTGTTGCTGCGCCCACAGCTGGGACTGGAGGTGGTGTTGTTGTACTTATGACAGGAGCGGTTTTTGGTGTTTGAGGTTTGGGTTTAAGTGGTGGGCTGGGGTTGGAGAGGGGCGTGGTGGTGGTGGTGGTGTTGACAGCTTTTAAATTTAAATGTAATTTGGCACTGGTGGCGGCAGGCTTGACCATGCTGTTCGTGTTCGTATTCGTGACTTTCAATTCACCATTCGTAAAAGCTTTGGCTTGGGTTGGTGTCTGGGCTATGTGCCTTTCCTTCTGCTGCTCCTCTTGGGCCAATATTTTCTCCTTGAAGCCAGTGCGTCTTAGGGTGTTCTGGCCAAAAGGTGCCGGAGTGACATCATTTGCGCTCACCACCATTGATTTGGTTTCCCGTTCCACACGTTTGCCGGAAGACGAGGTGGAGCGTAACAATTGTGGTCCTGGGGCCACATTTTCATTGACCACCATCATGGATTTGGTGTCCCTCGCCGCCGCCGCCTCTTCGCGTTTCGTGGATGGAGAACGCAATAACTGAGGCCCTGGTGGGGTGGTAGGGCTGGAACTTGTGCTAAGCATGGCTGTGCTGGTGAAACGTTTGTTGTTGCTGCGTGGCAGTGTTGCCACATTGACAATACTCTGGGTTTGTGGCTTGAGTACGGATTCTACAGTGGGCCGTTGTGGAGTAAATTTCAGACTGCCATTGGGAATGTTTTTCACCGGCGTTGGAGGTTTGCTGGCCTTCTCAGCAATGGGAGTTGGAAGGTCATTATTGCTGGCCTTCAGCTTGGCCTGGACTTCCACCTTGTCCACAACCACATCCGGCAGTGGCTTCACCAGGATGGGTACCTTAAATTCTTTCTCTGGTATACCCATGCGTTGTATGGTATCCGTTTTGACAATGGGGGCTGCATCTGACTGTCCGAGACTTGGCAGGGTTTTGTTGCCGTTCTGCTTTCCCCCGAAAATGTAGTCTCCCTCATTTTTGATGGCCACCACCTGGGCCTTGGGCCTTTCACTCCAGGTGGAAAAATTAATGCTGGGCGGACCAGAGTAACGATAAACTTTGGGTAATTCTTTGGGTTTGGGTGACTCTCGAATTTCGGATGATGCATCCTCGGAATTGGACACACTGTCCTGACCCGAGAGCGTAGTCTGCCAAAGTTTTTTGTCCTGTTCCTCAGCATGACTTTTGGTTTTCAGTTCCAGGCTGGCAAATTTCAACTCTTCCGAAGGTCTCCGGGTATTGACTTCTATGGCTTGATGGTCCTGTTTCAGCTCCTGCTGCTCCAAACTATTTTTACGGGAATTCAAAATGGTCTTCATGACCTCTAAACTTTGCAGGGAAGGTGATTCGCCAATGCTTAGCTCACTGGAGGAACGTCGACGATTTAGATTACCCGCCATCTGATCCAATGACATTTGTGAGGAGGTACGTTTGCCGAGATTAGCTCCGCTCTCTGGCGTTGTTATGGCTGTGCTGTGGAAGGAGTCGGAACGATTGACGGAACGTCGCTGTTTAAGGCTGGTCACACTGTTGCGCTTGCGATAGAGTTTTTCTTCGTCGGGGGCATTTGTGGGTGATTCCAGTTCCGTTGGCTGTTCTTTGGGGGACATTTGGGCGCCGGATATTTTGTTGAGTTGGTTTTCGGTATTCGTTTCTCTTTGGGTCTTATCATCCTCAGGCAATGATGGCTGGTCCTGCTCCTTTGCAACTTCTTTGGATTCGACTGTAGCCATTTGGGTGGCATTAACATCGCCTCTGATCTCTTCCCTTTGCGGCAATTCCTTCCTATCCAATTCGCCTTTTTTGGTTTCTTCTGGACCCATTTGGGCGCCATTTGAAATGTCTGAACCACCTCTGTTGCCATCCCTTTCCTGTAATTCCTTCCCCTCCTTTTGCACCTCTTTGGGTTTGGTTAGGCACGTTTGGGCGCCAGCTGTTATACTGAAGTTGCTCAGGGTATTCGGTTTGGCCGACTCGATTTCCGGTGTTTCCTCGGACTTTTTAATCAGACTATCCAAAGCGTTATCCTGAATTATGGCCGACAATTCGCCCACACAACTCTGCAGCGGAGTTTGGGGTGTGGTGACTTTGGTTTTCTCCGCCAGCGTGGTTTCCTGTTTGAGTACCTCAAAATTGAGGACAGGTCTCTCGACAATCTTTGGTGTTATGGGATTTTCCTGTTCCGCTGCAGGTGCCGGCGGCTCAAAGGCGGCTTCTGCAAATTTGCCATCGGCAAAATTTGGTGGCGGTGAAATGGGTATGGCAAAATTCCAGGACGATGTTTCCGAAGGCGTCCCCGAACAGGGGACCTGGGTGAGGGGGGTGTTTAGCTCGCTATCGGTTTCCTCCTGGCCTGCATTCAGTAGAGTCAGCTCCTCCAGGGTTTTGGTTTCATTTAGCGGTTTTACCAATGTCTTGCCCAGCTTGAAGTTATAGACCTTGACCATGTCATCATCATCGGAGGATGATTCAAAATTCGATTTCACATCCAAATGGGACACCTCAGAGGGTAGGCTGTCGGGTATGGGTGAGGGTACGGGTTCCCCAATGCCCGAGTCGGCCTGCTTGGAAACGTTGTCGTCTTCGATGGGGCGTTTTAAATTCTCCAACTGGGTTTCATAGCAAACATCCATGTCGGGAGGTTCACAGGAGAGGGAACGTGGTTCTGGAGTGGGCGTGCGATTCAACATGACCTTGGACACATTGTGGCGTGGCTTGTCGGCCCCAACCTCCTGGGGGGTGTTTAGCATGGTGGTGGTGGTAGTTACACGAGGTTGAGGTTTGGGCATCATGTCACTGGTCAGATCTTCCCTGCTCATGGATCTCTCGGCCGGTTTGGGTGTGGCTGGCGTACTGGGTTCCGAATTGACATTGCTGGAGGCAATGGACTCAGTGTCATCAGTGTCCAGGGAATTTCTGGTTGCCGCAGGAGCCGGTGGGGCCACAGTTTTCTTTTTGGCAGCCACCACCACCACAGGTACCACCTTTTTGCGTGGTGAAGGTTCCGGCAACCTACCCACCTCAGGACCTGCTGGCCCCGTTTCGCCATTGAAATTATTCGAATTCAGGGCATTCTTTTTCTGGACCTGGGCATACAACACGGTATCCTCGGTATAGCCATTGCTAAGATTTTTGTTGGCCACATCCAGCTTCTCAGGCTCCTCCTCCTCCTCCTCCTCAGCCAGATGGCCATTACATTTATTGCCATTGATATCACTCTGCGCAAATGAAAAGGTACTCGACGGAGAACTTAGATTTGGTGTTGACACAGAAAAATCTTTGGTGGCCAAAGTGTTTTGTTCCCCCCTTTCCGGTATGGCCGCCTGGCTGGGCGGTTTGGGGGCAGCCCGTTTTTTCCTTGGCGGTGCTGCAATTTTTGGTTGTGCACTCCTCGGCCTTGTGCCCGACGAATCCATTGAGTTCAGGGAATTTGTCGAACTATATGGACTAGTGGTTTTTGCAGTATGCTTCGAATTGCGTCCGCTGAACTCTGACGAGGTCAACGATTCGCGGATTATGGTGGTGCGTTGCAGCTTCATAATCTCATCGCTGTTGAAGTTGTTGTCGTATGACTCGGATTTGTGACACAGACGTATTTCGGAGAGACCCACAGCGCCAATGGTCAGATCGCAGCTGTAGACTTGACTAGCATCAACTGGAAGAGAAAGAGAGAGGGAGAGAGAGAGAAAAAGAGAAAGTTAATAAAAAGTAATGATAAAAAATGGCGCCCAATTAAAAACACTAAAAAATGGCGCCCAACGTTTTTTTGGAGAGAAAAAAATGAAATAATTAGAAAAAAAGGAAACAAGTAGTTAAGTTCGGCCGGGCCACCACTTGGAAGGAACTTGAATTTTTTCAAACAAAAAAAAAAAAAAAAAAAAAAAAAAACCGAAAACTACCACTTAATTGAAATTCGTTATATGGGGGCTATACGAAGACGTGGACCTGCACAGACAATTTTCGGTCATAGGCTGTAGTATCCATTACCAACTCCAAATACGAAATTTGAAACAATTCCGGTGAATAATGTCGCTAAAATCATCAAAATACCGAATATCGGGAGGTACCGTTATATGGGGGCTATACGAAGACGTGGACCTGCACAGATAATTTTCTGTCGTAGGCTGTAGTATCGATTTCGAACTTCAAATACCAAATTTGAAACAATTCCGGTGAATAATGTTGCTAAAATCATGAAAATACCGAATATCGGGAGGTATTGTTATATGGGTGCTATACGAGGATGTGGACCTGCACAGACAATTCTCTGTCATAGGCTCTAGTAGCCATTACGAACTTCAACTACGAAAATTAAAACAATTCCGGTGATTAATGTCGCTAAAATCATCAAAATACCGAATATCGGGAGGTACCGTTATATGGGGGCTATATGAAGACGTGGACCTGCACAGGCAATTTTCTGTCATAGGTTGTAGTATCCGTAACGAACTACAAATACGAAATTTGAAACAATTCCGGTGAATAATGTCGCTAAAATCATCAAAATACCGAATATCGGGAGGTACCCTTATATGGGGGCTATACGAAGACGTGGACCTGCAGAGAAAATTTTCTGTCATACGTTGTAGCATCCATTTCGAACTTCACATACCAAATTTGAAACATTTCCGGTAAATAATGTTGCTAAAATCATCAAAATACCGGATATAGGGAGGTTCCGTTATATGGGGGCTATACGAAGACGTGGACCTGCAGAGACAATTTTCTGTCATAAGTTGTACACTCTATTAAGAACTTCAAATACGAAATTTGCAACAATTCCGGTGAATAAAGTCGCTTAAATCATCAAAATACCGAAAATAGGGAGGTACCGTTATATGGGGGCTATACGAAGACGTGGACCTGCACAGACAATTATCTGTCACAGGCTGTAATATTCGTAACGATCTTCAAATACGAAATTTGAAACAATTCCGGAGAATAATGTAGCAAAAATCATTAAAATACCGAATATCGGAAGGTGCCCTTATATGGGGGCTATACGAGGACGTGGACCTGCAGAGGCAATTTTCTGTCTAAGGCTGAAGTACCCATTACGAACTCCAAATACCAAATTTGAAACAATTCCGGTGAATAATGTCGCTTAAATCATGAAAAAACCGAATATCGGGAGGTATCGTTACATGGGGGCTATACCAAAACGTGGACCTACATGACCCATTATAAATACCAAAGATCTTGCAGACATAATATACATTTGAGTAAAATTTTATCAACCTAATTCATTTCGTTCGGAAGCTAGAGTGATTTCCACTGACGGACGGCCAAATTAAAATAACAAATGGCGCCCAACGGAAGTCAAATTTTTTTTTTGACAAAAAATGAATTTAGGCCTCAGGGAAAGGGAATTCTGATTAAATTTCAAGTTCAATCAACGGAGAATATTTTTCTAATGGATGATGGAATGTAAAATGGGATTTTATTTAAATTATCATTAAAAAGCCTAAAAGTGGCGCCCAATCAATTTTGAAGAAATGGCGCCCAATAATTTTTATGAATTTTTTTTGTGGAGAATTTTTGTAAATTTTTGCAAAAGTATGTAAAGTGCTCAAAATTTCCGAAGGGATTTTGTTACAAAAATATATTCCTAAATATTGAATATTGAAAAGTTGAGCCTTGAAGAGAATTGTGGCGGCGCCCAACGTTTCTGATACCTTTTTGGCCGAATTAAAATAACAAATGGCGTCTAACGAAATTCAAAGCGTAAAAATGGCGCTCAATGAATATTGTAAAAATGGCGCCCAATCAGTTTTGTAAAAATGGCGCCCAATTAGTAACCCACAAAAGTTAAAAAAAATAAAAAACCAATAAGGAAAGGTTAAAGGTCACCAACTATATGATACACCACACCACTATGCGTATTTAGTAGAGCTTCCGCAACAAATAAAGTTTATATTGGGAATTTATGTGAAGCAGATCATATCAACTATGAACCTTTTTGGAAAGCATATCTTGGCTTTAGGGCGGTCACAATTTGGAAAATATATCCAATTCTGAATCGATTTCAAAAAAAAAAAAAAAAAATTGACGGAGGATTGAAACATCGGATGAAGCAAATATATGGGATCTATAGCTATATCTGAACCGATTTTTACCAAATTTGAGGTACTCGCATCTAGGCTAAGTTTCGTCGGAAGTGCCAAAATGCAGGTCATTTGGACTGATATTGGCCATTTGGTGCAGAATAAACCTGAAATAGGTTGAAGATATATATGGGAGCTATATCCAAATCCGAACCGATCTTGATAAAATTTGGCAGAGGTATTTCCGAGCTCTATAGGATTTCTGGTACCAAATATCATTTATGTGGAGTGCATATTCCGCATGTGAGGCACTTAAAACCCCAAATCGGACGAAACATATATATGGGAGCTAGAGCTATATCTGAACCGATTTCCACCAAATTTGAGGTACTCGCATCTAGGCTGAATTCCATTGGAAGAGACAAAATTCAGGTCATTTGGACTGATATTGGCCATTTGGTGCACAATTAACCCTGAATCGGCTGAAGATCTATATATGAGATATATCCAAATTTGAACCGATCATGATGAAATTTGGCAGAGGTATTTCCGAGCTCTATAGGATTTCTGGTAAAATCACTCATGTGGAGTGCATATTACGCCTGTGAGGTACTTAAAACCCCAAATCGGATGACACATATATATGGGAGCTATAGCTATATCTGAACGGATTTTCACCAAATTTCAAGTACTCGTATCTAGGCTGAATTCGGTCAGATGTGCCAAAATTCAGAGCATTTGGACTGATATTGGCCATTTGGTGCACAATTAACCCTGAATCGGCTGAAGATCTATATAGGAGCTATATCCAAATCTGAACCGATCTTGATGAAATTTGGCAGAGGTATTTCCGAGCTCTATTGGATTTCTGGTACCCAATATCATTTATGTGGAGGGCATATTACGCATGTGAGGCACTTAAAACCCCAAATCGGATGAAACATATATATGGGAGCTATAGCTATATCCGAACCGATTTTCACAAAATTTGAGGTACTCACATCTAGACTGTTTTCGGTCGGATGTACCAAAATTCAGGTCATTTGGACTGATATTGGCCATTTGGTGCACAATTAACCCTAAATCGGATTAAGATATATATGGGAGCTATATCCAAATCTGAACCAATCTTGATAAAATTTGGCAGAGGTATTTCTGAGCTCTATAGGATTTCTGGTACCAAATATCATTTATGTAGAGTGCATATTCCGCATGTGAGGTACTTAAAACCCCAAATCGGACGAAACATATATATGGGAGCTATAGCTATATCTGAACCGATCTTCATAAAATTTGGCAGAGGTATTTCCGAGCTCTATAGGATTTCTGGTACCAAATATCATTCATGTGGAGTGCATATTACGCATGTGAGGGACATAAAACCCCAAATCGGATGAAACATATATATGGGAGCTATAGCTATATCTGATCCGATTTTCACAAAATTTCAGGTACTCGCATCTAGACTGAATTCGGTGGGATGTGCCAAGATTCAGTTCATTTGGACTGATATTGGCCATTTGGTGCACAATAAACCAAAAATCGGATAAGGATATATATGGGAGCTATATCCAAATGCGAACCGATCTCAATAAAATTGTACAGAGGTATTTCTGGGCTAGATCTGATATCTGACATCTGGTGAAATAAATTCCGTCGGAAGTGCCAGAATTCAGGCGATTTGGACTAATTTTTAGCCATTTGGTGCAGAAAAAACTGAAATTGGTTGAAGATATATGTGGGAGCTATATCCAAATCTGAACCGATCTTGATAAAATTTGGCAGAGGTATTTCTGGGCTATATCTGATATCTGTATCTGACATCTGGTGAAATGAATTCCGTCAAAAGTACCAAAATTCAGGCCATTTGGACTAATTTTTAGCCATTTAGTGCAGAATAAACCTGATATCGGATAAGGATATATATGGGAGCTATGTCCAAATCTGCTCCGAGCTCGGTAAAATTTTGACCGAGCCATTTCTGGGCTAGATCTGATATCTGGTACCAAATATAATTTTTTTCCTAAATATTTTCAATTTGGCGCCTAACGTTGGGCTGAAATAAGGATTTTTTGTTAAATTTAAAATATGGCGCCAAGCTATATCCAAATCTCATCCGATCTCGATAAATTTTTGTCACAGGTATTTCTGGGCTGTATCTGATACCTGGTTCGAAATATAATTTTTTTCCTAAATATTTTCAATTTGGCGCCCAACGTTGGGCTGAATTAAGGATTTGTTTTTGTTAAATTTAAAATATGGCGCCCAAGCTATATCCAAACCTTATCCGATCTCGATAAATTTTTGACACAGGTATTTCCGAGCTGTATTTGATATCTGCTACCAAATATCGTTCTTTTTCCTAAATATTTTCAATTTGGCGCCCAACGTTGGGCTGAATTAGAAGGATTTTTTTTTTTGTTAAATTAAAAATATGGCACCCAAGCTATTTCCAAACCTTATCCGATCTCGATAAATTTTTGACAGAGGTATTTCTAGACTGTATCTGATATCTGCTACCAAATATCTATTTTTTTCCTAAATATTTTCAATTTGGCGCCCAACGTTGGGCTGAATTAAGGACTTTTTTTTGTTAAATTAAAAATATGGCGCCCAAGCTATATTCAAATCTCATCCGATCTCGATAAATTTTTGACACAGGTATTTCTGGACTGTATCTGATACCTGAAACCAAATATCATTTTTTTTTCCTGAATATTTTCAATTTGGCGCCCAACTTTGGGCTGAATTAAGGATTTTTTTTGTTAAATTAAAAATATGGCGCCCAAGCTATATCCAAATCTCATCCGATCTCGATAAATTTTTGTCACAGGTATTTCTGGGCTGTATCTGATACCTGGTTCGAAATATAATTTTTTTCCTAAATATTTTCAATTTGGCGCCCAACGTTGGGCTGAATTAAGGATTTGTTTTTGTTAAATTTAAAATATGGCGCCCAAGCTATATCCAAACCTTATCCGATCTCGATAAATTTTTGACACAGGTATTTCCGAGCTGTATTTGATATCTGCTACCAAATATCGTTCTTTTTTCCTAAATATTTTCAATTTGGCGCCCAACGTTGGGCTGAATTAGAAGGATTTTTTTTTTGTTAAATTAAAAATATGGCACCCAAGCTATTTCCAAACCTTATCCGATCTCGATAAATTTTTGACAGAGGTATTTCTAGACTGTATCTGATATCTGCTACCAAATATCTATTTTTTTCCTAAATATTTTCAATTTGGCGCCCAACGTTGGGCTGAATTAAGGACTTTTTTTTGTTAAATTAAAAATATGGCGCCCAAGCTATATTCAAATCTCATCCGATCTCGATAAATTTTTGACACAGGTATTTCTGGACTGTATCTGATACCTGAAACCAAATATCATTTTTTTTTCCTGAATATTTTCAATTTGGCGCCCAACTTTGGGCTGAATTAAGGATTTTTTTTGTTAAATTAAAAATATGGCGCCCAAGCTATATCCAAATCTCATCCGATCTCGATAAATTTTTGACAGAGCAATTTCTGGACTGTATCTGATATCCGCTACCAAATACCATTTTTTCCTGAATATTTTCAATTTGGCGCCCAACGTTGGGCTGAATTAAGGATTTTTTTTTGTTAAATTAAAAATATGGCGCCCAAGCTATATCCAAACCTTATCCGATCTCGATAAATTGTTGACAGAGGTATTTCTGGACTGTATCTGATACCTGAAACCAAATATCATTTTTTTTTCCTGAATATTTTCAATTTGGCGCCCAACGTTGGGCTGAATTAAGGATTTTTTTTTTGTTAAATTAAAAATATGGCGCCCAAGCTATATTCAAACCTTATCCGATCTCGATAAATTTTTGACACAGGTATTTCTGGACTGTATCTGATACCTGAAACCAATTATCATTTTTTTCCTGAATATTTTCAATTTGGCGCCCAACGTTGGGCTGAATTAGAAGGATTTTTTTTTTGTTAAATTAAAAATATGGCACCCAAGCTATTTCCAAACCTTATCCGATCTCGATAAATTTTTGACAGAGGTATTTCTAGACTGTATCTGATATCTGCTACCAAATATCTATTTTTTTCCTAAATATTTTCAATTTGGCGCCCAACGTTGGGCTGAATTAAGGACTTTTTTTTGTTAAATTAAAAATATGGCGCCCAAGCTATATTCAAATCTCATCCGATCTCGATAAATTTTTGACACAGGTATTTCTGGACTGTATCTGATACCTGAAACCAAATATCATTTTTTTTTCCTGAATATTTTCAATTTGGCGCCCAACTTTGGGCTGAATTAAGGATTTTTTTTGTTAAATTAAAAATATGGCGCCCAAGCTATATCCAAATCTCATCCGATCTCGATAAATTTTTGACAGAGCAATTTCTGGACTGTATCTGATATCCGCTACCAAATACCATTTTTTCCTGAATATTTTCAATTTGGCGCCCAACGTTGGGCTGAATTAAGGATTTTTTTTGTTAAATTAAAAATATGGCGCCCAAGCTATATCCAAACCTTTTCCGATCTCGATAAATTTTTTACAGAGCTGTATTTGATATCTGGTAACAAATATAATTTTTTCCTAAATATTTTCAATTTGGCGCCCAATGTTGGGCTGAATTAAGGATTTTTTTTGTTAAATTTAAAATATGGCGCCCAAGCTATATCCAAATGTGCTCCGATCTCGATAAATTTTTGACAGAGGTATTTCTGGACCTGAAACCAAATATCATTTTTTTTTCCTAAATATTTTCAATTTGGCGCCCAACGTTGGGCTGAAATAAGGATTTTTTTCGTTAAATTTAAAATATGGCGCCCAAGCTATATCCAAATCTCATCCGATCTCGATAATTTTTTGACCGAGCAATTTCTGGGCTGTATCTGATATCTGCTACCAAATATCGTTTTTTTTTCCTGAATATTTGCAATTTGGCGCCCAACGTTGGGCTAAATTAAGGTTTTTTTTTTGTTAAATTAAAAATATGGCGCCCAAACGCCCGCCACTTACCTGGATTACGAAATTCATATTTCTGCGGATCCAGCAATTTATTGTCGCACACCAAATCCAGTAGTTTACTCAGCGGTACCCGGGCGCCCAATCGCGTCACATACAGCTGATCTTTGGGCAGTAGGACGGTTATGCGAAACGTTTGCTCGAACGGAGCATTTGTGGTGGCAGCTGGCAATGGTGTTATCCGATTATATTCCAGTTGACTAGTTTCGTTGATGTTTGTGCTGGAGATGGATAGATTTGTGCTGGATTTGGAGAGTTTGCCATTGGACATGGATTTGTCTGGAAGAGAGAGAGGGGGGGGGGAGGTTAAAACAGGTTATTTTTGCCATAATTCAGCTACTTACCCTTGTTTTTGCGTCCCAACCAACGGTTGAGGGTGGAAAAGCCGGATTTACTCATGTTTTCGTTACAATTTTCGCCGGCTGAGGGTGGGAGGAAAAGAAATCTTAAATTGAGGCCTAGGAGCCTGTGTAGGCTTTGTGCGGTTCGTTGTGTTTTTTGTTCCAAAAAAAAAATCGTTGCTTCTTCTGAGAGTTCCGTTTACATTGCCTTTTCCCCTCTTCAGATTGGTTGCAACATTTTGTAAAAAGTTGTGCGAAAATTCCGTTCCTTTAGTTAAAAATTTTTAGTTTTTTTGGTAAGGCCTTGTCCAGATAATGGCTTGATTATTCAGACACCGCTTTCCGTTTCACTCGTTCAACTCAACTAAATAAATTTTGCAGATTTCTGTAAAGATAAACGGAGGTAGAAAAGCATGAAGTTATAAAAGAAGAAACAGAAAAAACTAATCTTATCTGGAGAATCGAGGCAAATAAATGCCCCGGAGATGATAAGCAGACTATAACATCGTCATCGTCCATATTATCTGGAACAAGAATTATTTTGCGTTTTTTTTTTAATTTTTTTTCAATTTTTTTTTATTTGCCATCAAAAGAAGTGACAGTTTTTTGAAGGAGTTTTCAAAGAATTCTTGGATTAATTTCAGGAATCGGGTTGTGCAAACATTTTGGCATGGGAGACATGTGAAAGCGAAAATTTATGGCTCAAATCAAGAGAATTTTGGAACAAAAATATTTGGTAGGCAAAGGTTATCGTGCAGGCATCCGATGACTGCTTGTGTGCAGGAAAACATAAACATGAGGTCATAACTAATTCCCTGTGGCAATGAAATTTCAATTTCAAATATTTGCTGCAAAGTAGTCGCATAAACCAATAATGGCGCCCAAGAAGGGTCTACAGGGTGAGATAAAGAAAAAAAACTGCAACAAAGTCGAACGCCATAATTTTTACATTTTTTTTTCAAATTGGATCCTGCGTCCTGATGGATTTTTCAAATAAATTTTTATCAAGGACCAGCAGACCCATAAAACTTGGATTTTTTAAATAATTTTTTTGAAGGACCAGCAGACCCATAAACATGGATTTTTCAAATATTTTTTTTCAAGAACCATTAGACCCATAAATGTGGATTTTTTAAATATTTTTTCAAGGATCAGCAGACCCATAAACGTGGATTTTTTTTAATATTTTTTTGAAGGACCAGCAGACCCTTATCTTGGATTTTTTAAATAATTTTTTTAAAGGGCCAGAAGACCCATAAACGTGGATTTTTTAAATAAATTTATTCAAGGACCAAAAGACCCTTAAACGTGGATTTTTTAAATAAATTTATTCAAGGACCAAAAGACCCTTAAACGTGGATTTTTTAAATAAATTTTACCAAGGACCAGCAGACCAGTAAATGTGGATTTTTTAAATAAATTTATTCAAGGACCAAAAGACCCTTAAACGTGGATTTTTTAAATAAATTTATTCAAGGACCAAAAGACCCTTAAACGTGGATTTTTTAAATAAATTTATTCAAGGACCAAAAGACCCTTAAACGTGGATTTTTTAAATAAATTTATTCAAGGACCAAAAGACCCTTAAACGTGGATTTTTTAAATAAATTTATTCAAGGACCAAAAGACCCTTAAACGTGGATTTTTTAAATAAATTTATTCAAGGACCAAAAGACCCTTAAACGTGGATTTTTTAAATATTTTTTTTTCCAAGGACCAGCAGACCCATAAACGTGGATTTTTTAAATAATTTTTTTCAAGGACCAGCAGACCCATAAACACGGATTTTTAAATAAATGTTTATCAAGGACCAGCAGACCCATAAAACTTGGATTTTTAAAATAATTTTGTTGAAGGACCAAAAGACCCTAAAACGTGGATTTTTTAAATAAATTTATTCAATGACCAAAAGACCCTTAAACGTGGATTTTTTAAATAAATTTATTCAAGGACCAAAAGACCCTTAAACGTGGATTTTTTAAAAAAAATTATTCAAGGTCCAAAAGACCCTTAAACGTGGATTTTTTAAATAAATTTATCCAAGGACCAAAAGACCCTTAAACGTGGATTTTTTAAATAAATTTATTCAAGGACCAAAAGACCCTTAAACGTGGATTTTTTAAATAAATTTATTCAAGGACCAAAAGACCCTTAAACGTGGATTTTTTAAATAAATTTATTCAAGGACCAAAAGACCCTTAAACGTGGATTTTTTAAATAAATTTATTCAAGGACCAAAAGACCCTTAAACGTGGATTTTTTAAATAAATTTATTCAAGGACCAAAAGACCCTTAAACGTGGATTTTTTAAATAAATTTATTCAAGGACCAAAAGACCCTTAAACGTGGATTTTTAAATAAATTTATTCAAGGACCAAAAGACCCTTAAACGTGGATTTTTTAAATAAATTTATTCAAGGACCAAAAGACCCTTAAACGTGGATTTTTTAAATAAATTTATTCAAGGACCAAAAGACCCTTAAACGTGGATTTTTTAAATAAATTTATTCAAGGACCAAAAGACCCTTAAACGTGGATTTTTTAAATAAATTTATTCAAGGACCAAAAGACCCTTAAACGTGGATTTTTTAAATAAATTTATTCAAGGACCAAAAGACCCTTAAACGTGGATTTTTAAATAAATTTATTCAAGGACCAAAAGACCCTTAAATGTGGATTTTTTAAATAAATTTATTCAAGGACCAAAAGACCCTTAAACGTGGATTTTTTAAATAAATTTATTCAAGGACCAAAAGACCCTTAAACGTGGATTTTTTAAATAAATTTATTCAAGGACCAAAAGACCCTTAAACGTGGATTTTTTAAATAAATTTATCCAAGGACCAAAAGACCCTTAAACGTGGATTTTTTAAATAAATTTATTCAAGGACCAAAAGACCCTTAAACGTGGATTTTTTAAATAAATTTATTCAAGGATCAAAAGACCCTTAAACGTGGATTTTTTAAATAAATTTATTCAAGGACCAAAAGACCCTTAAACGTGGATTTTTTAAATAAATTTATTCAAGGACCAAAAGATCCTTAAACGTGGATTTTTTAACTAAATTTATTCAAGGACCAAAAGATCCTTAAACGTGGATTTTTTAAATAAATTTATTCAAGGACCAGAAGACCCTTAAACGTGGATTTTTTAAATAAATTTATTCAAGGACCAGAAGACCCTTAAACGTGGATTTTTTAAATAAATTTATTCAAGGACCAAAAGACCCTTAAACGTGGATTTTTTAAATAAATTTATTCAAGGACCAAAAGACCCTTAAACGTGGATTTTTTAAATAAATTTTTTCAAGGACCAAAAGACCCTTAAACGTGGATTTTTTAAATAAATTTATTCAAGGACCAAACAATATGTTTTTCTTTTTTTTATTATTTTTTTTAAGATTCCATCAATTTTTGACCCGAAAATTAAATTTCATTGTTTGTGATTTTTCTATACAGTTAAAAATATTTTTCTATTTTTTTTTTAATAATTCTTTTATTATTTTTTTAAGTTTCTATCAATTTTTGACCTAAAATTAAGTACTGCCGCCCTGTTGTTGGGCGCCATATTTATTATTTCTTAATAATTTTTGTTTGTGATTTTTCTAACGTTCCCTGACTTCATCTCCTCCCCAGTATTTTTTTTTGACTCTGTGGTTATCATCGATAATTGTTTTTTATTGTTATTTAATGACTGTATTTATGTTTTCACATTCGTTGCTATCTTAACTTTGATATGAAATATAAACAGAGAAGACAAAAAAATAATAATAATAAAAAAAATAAATAAATGACATGTACAAATTTAGTCACGTCCAGTTCGCTGCTGACAATTTTTTTTGTTGTTGGTTGTCTCTTTAGACGACTACTGTCAATCACTGAGATATTTAGCAGTGACTACTTTTAGTCATCGTCATCATCATCATACTTTGGCAGTCAATTTAATAATAAAATTTTGATAATTGTTAGGAATGTGGAATTCCTTTTGGGGTTTTTGGTTTATGATTGACATGAAAGATATGAAGAAAAAAATAATAATAAGCCATAAAAAAATTTAAAAAATTAAAAAAAAATATTTTTATTTTTATAGCGTTTGAATTGACACATATTTTCCTTTCATTATGACGTCATAAAAATTAGTTTTCTTTTTCAATTTCTTTTTTGTAATTTCTGTAACGATTGGGGATGGCTTCTTAGATATTTAATCCACCTTGGGATTATGGTATTGAAAACTTAAGCTTCTTATAGAAAATCCTTGATATGATTTGGGTGCAAAGAATACTTCGATAAAAATCGGCTTTACCCTGGATGACATCATTTATTTGAACGCTGGTATTTTCTCATCTCCCAAGGTAAAAACGTAACATTGAAACCTAAAACCAACTTTAAATTAAATTGAATAATGGCAAATATGAATGTGAATAAGACGAACATCCCGTAAAAACTAAATTCCAATTTGCCTCCCTTATTTGCCGCATTAAAACCTCCAGTGGCGCCCAACGTGGGGCTGAACAAAAATCATTACAAACTTAATATGGATGTGGATAGGCACAAAATTTTTAGGGTATTCGAAAAAAAGGAAATGAGAATAAAACGAAAATTCCGAAAAACAAAACAAAATTCCAATTTACCCCCTTAATTTGTCTCATTAAAACCCCCAGTGGCGCCCAACGTGGGGCTGAACGAAAATCTTTGCAAAATTAATATGGATGTGGATGAGCACAACATTTTTGGGGTATCCGAAAAATCGATATTTGAAACGGAATATTTCAAAATATATGTTCTATACAAAAACTCAAGTGGCGCCCAATGAGGGGATTGAATTGCTGTGATATGTGAATTTTTAAGAAAGCAAAAAAAACTATTTTGTTTTTGAAAACTTGACTTTTGGACATATTTTTTTTGACTCTGAACAATTTTTATTTAACATGTGGTGCAAAATCCCTAGTGGCGCCCAATGTGGGTTGGAATTGATGTAATGACTAAGTGTCCATTTTTGGAAAGCATATATTTTGGTTTTGACAAAAAGGACTGTTTTTTTTAGAAAAAGATGTGAGGTTGACTGCTGAACTGAACCTTCATCAGAAAACCAAAAAAAAAAAAAAAAAATAATAAAAAAATAATAATTTTTGATAAAAATTTAAGCACTTTCTGGGAGAGGTACCAGAAGTGAACCAATAAATTCCAAATTCACATCAGTTCTCGGTTTGAGAAAAACATTGAGATATACCAGGTTTAAAAAGAATTGCTGACGTGTTCCGCAAATTATGAGAGCTATAAGTATTGAAAATTGTAACCCTTTGTGGGGGAGGTGTTGGTCGATATATTCCACCTTTACAGCAGAACTTGTGCTAGTAAAAATAAGGGAGATGTGTGAAATTTGAA